CAGTGAAGGTGCTGGAGTAGACTTCAAAACTTTCACTGCTCATTTCCTTTGCCTACAGCTGGGCAGCGGAAAATGATTACATGAAAATTAAATTGTGCCAAGGGCTTTGGCTTGTCAGCCTCAATAAAAGTCTGATGCAGATAGAGGATCCTGTACCATCCGTAGCCCTCCAGAGTATTTTGCAGGGCCTTTGGGGATCCCCCAAAAGCTTGAGAATGAATTTACCTGAAAATCATCTACTTTTCACTGGTAAATTCTTTCAAAGAATTAAACCCACTCCTTCACTTTTTTTCTTGAAACTGATTTGGTTAATTTCATTGGAAGGATGGTTAAGAAAAAGTCCTCTTTTCTTCCTCTTGCTAATATTGAATCATAGAGCCACAAAGACTGCTAATTTTGAAATGTGCTGGGTAGGGCTTTCTACTGATTATGTTGCTATTGATTCAGTCAAAAGTCTTTAGGATCATTTTTAGAGCAATGGCATGAGCAGGACTGAAATGGAAATCAGTCCAAGATAATGAACACCCCTGCTTAGAAATCATTATAGGCTGAGTCATGCTGGGAAGGCACTGTGCCTGAGAGTTGGCCCTGAGCTCAAGTGGTTAGTGCTGAGTGGTCAGTCAGCTCCTGTACCCAGGGCTTGGTGTTCTGGATAAATGCTTGCCTGTGTTCAAGTCAGTTTGACCAGTTAACAGGTGTTTTTTGTTATTTTCTCGCTGGGACATGGACATTTAAAAGAGCTTAATTAAGGACTATGGAGTTGTTTGTTGTTCCTTTTGGAGGCAAAGAACCCCTTGGTAGTTGAAGGAAGGGTGTAAGCAATCTACTTCCCTTTGGTAAATGGGAAGACTGCTTTCCTTGAATGTATGGTAGAGGTGACCCACAGGTCAAATCTGGCAGGCTGCAGGGTTTTGCATGACCCATGGGCTCAGAAGAGTTTTTCAACTTTTAAATGGTCAAAAGTAAAAATCAAAAGTAAGAAAATTTCACGATGTGTGAAAATAATATGGATTCAGATTTTCTTTTTCAGTATTCATAAATAATTTTTTTTTGGAACATAGCCATATCCATTTATTTATGTATTGTCTGTGACTTGTTTCATGCTACAGTGGCAGAGTTGAATACTTGCAACAGAGACCATATGGCCTGCAAACCCCAAAATATTTACTATATGGCTCTTTATAGATAAAGTTTGCTGACCTCTGCTGTATGTATAGGCATGGAGGATATTGCTTCCTGCCAGGAGACCTCTCCCTTGAGGGTCCGTGTCCACAAGGTACAGCTCTCACTACCTGTAGAGATGCGTGGTCTAAACCCTGCTTGATAGGATGATTGAGAACATTCAAGAAAGTGGTAATGAAATAAGATTCCACTCAAATCACATTTTTGTTATCTACAGAGATTTGGACCTTGATCAGATTTAAAGCATTTGATTAACCTACTAGAATATACTTTTGGTGTTAAGACAGGTGACCAACTGGTTGATTGCTTTATTCCATTGAGCAGCTCATTCTGTACTGGCCTTTTCCATTTCAACCTCCTGTTCCTCCCTGTCACCTGAATTGTTTAAGAGGTTTCAGCCTAGGGGCGCCTGGGTGGCTCAGTGGGTTAAGCCGCTGCCTTCGGCTCAGGTCGTGATCTCAGGGTCCTGGGATCAAGCCCCACATCGGGCTCTCTGCTCAGCAAGGAGCCTGCTTCCTCCTCTCCACCTGCCTCTCTGCCTGCTTGTGATCTCTGTCAAATAAATAAATCTTAAAAAAAAAAAAAAAAGAGGTTTCAGCCTATTTTCCAGCTCCAGAGAGCAGAATCTGGTCATCCTCTTGGCAAGATAAGCAATGGTCTGGCCTGTGGCCAACCTGGTCACCTGTTCCTCTAGGGTATAAGCATGCATCTGCTGCTTCTGATGTCTGGATGAGAGGCTGCATGGTGTCTGGGCCATCTGGGAGTTCTGGTTCCTGGACACCAGCATATGGAGCCTGGAAAATGCTTGGCTGATTAATGACATTTTTCGCTAGTTATTAGAATAACTGGTGGAGGGCAAGTTACTTTACTCACCACTCACCTGAATAGTCCCTGAAGCTTCTGCTACTTTTATATAATCACTCCTTCTGGTCGAGTAGGGCACTGGGGACATGATAAATGCCCACTGACCCAGCAGTATTATTATGCCTCATCTTTGGAGCTGACGTGCAGTCTGAATTTGCACAACAGGAGTTGATGGAGAGGGTCCGGACTTCTTGTTCCTGTTTCTCTACATCAATCTAGTCATAAACAATTCAAACCCTGTGTCCTTAGCCAAGTGCCACTTTCATCTGATCTCCCAATACCCTTAAACGATTCAAACCCTGTGTCCTTAGCCAAGTGCCACTTTCATCTGATCTCCCAATACCCTCCCCCAAATTATGCTCCAAATAACCCACTCAACCATGAGTAAGTGATGCAACCATTGGAGACAGCCAGAGGGCATGAAGAAACCCTTCCCACCCTCAACCAAATCAAAAGGACTCTGCAAGGTGCTCTCATGAAAATCAGACTTAGAATATTTTAAATAGAAATTCAGTTGAAAAAGAATTGGTTGTGATGAGCAGTGGGTATCCTATGTAAGTGATGAATCACTGAATTCTACTCCCGAAACTAATATTATACTCTATGTTTAGAGAATTTAAAAACTCGAAACATTAAAAAAATTCTTCTAACAACAAAAAATTAGTTTTAAACCATAAATTTTGCTTTTACTGCCATAATTTTGGGGAGAATTTTGTTAGCTCCTAAGTGCCCAACTGGAGAATCTTTTTTTATTTAATGACGGGAATGATGGGGACTAAGCAGTGTTAGAGATTTTCTCATTGTAGATGTGCAGACACAGCCTGATAGAAAAAGGGTGTTTTGGTTGGGAGAACTCACTGAAGTGTCTATTTCCAGTCAATGAATATAAAATCCCAAACTTCTGCCTGCATTTTTCCCTGAGAAGGGAAAAATAAGAGCACTGATTTTGTGATTGTGTGCCTCTTCCTCCTATGACTTCTCTCCCTGCTCTGTGTCTGTTTCATTTAATTTCTATGCCTGTTGGTTCCCCCTCTGCAATGATTATCTCCTTGGAGGGGAGGTGCTCATCTTACTCAGCTTTAGCATTTCATAGGGCTGCTGGTTGAGTGCTTAGCACATAGTAGGTCCTCAGCAATGCCTGTGAGCTGTATAAATAGGAGTATACGTAGAAGCGGGGCGGTGGACACTGGACCAAGACTGGTCTTGTCTCTAACTCTGAATGGCTCTGAGCAAGGAGCTAAAGCTCTAAACCCCAAAAAATGCCTGACAGTAGTTGTCCCAACTCCCCAGTGGAATTGTGGTGAGCCTGAAAGGAGGGAACAGATATGCAAAAACCACTTTCAGTGGTGGAAAAAACTGCATCAGGTAGTTTGCTTGAATCAGAAGGTTGCAGGGGCTGGTCATGGATGGAGGTCAAACTAGAGGACACTGATGAGGGACCCCCTTAAGCTCTGTTTCAGTGACATGGGGGAATAGTTGAATTCTCAACTTTCTTTTGAACCCGAATGCCGCTGTACCTAGGGGCCAGGCTCTGTGCCTCTGCCAGTAGGGGCTGGGCTGGACAGGAGCAGATTGTACAGACTGAGGACAAAGCCAGATACATTCAAAACAGACACTCTCAGAGCCTTACACAAGTCTTAGAATGGCCCTGTTTTTGCCTGCTATTCTCCTGGTCACAAAACAGCACAGACAAGTTACTATAGCAACAGTTCTCCTCTTGACGTGTCCATGTTAGGATGGAGGTGGAAAATATTTTCTTATTAAAACAAGAAAGAAAGAAATTAGGTTTTCGGATATATTTGCCCTTCACCCAAAGTGTTGCTCCTTTTATGAGAAGAATAAAGAAGCAGCTGTTACTATCACAGATAACGCTCCTAATTCCTAGCATTCAAATCTCCAAACTTTCATTTTAGATTCGGCACAGTTGATGACAGTCCAGATGTATCTGAGAGGGATGTATTTTCTCAGGAGGCAAAACAGCATGAAAACAGGTGACAAGGGACCCTAAGGCTAGATGCTGAGAGCCTTGTCAACCTCTGGCTGCCTTCTGGGTGGGGTGACCCCACCACCCCATCCCCCAGTTTTGTGCCCACCATGATGCTCAGCGGCTCCTCATATCAGCCCTTCCTTCTGGTCCCTGGGTGCATGCTTGTCATGCTGTCGCCTGGGGCAGTGCCTCTGTGGAGTGCTTCCTGGTTCCTGTGATACCGTGTGGGGGCAGTGCCCAGCAGGGCTGCCAGGGCAGGCTGCCAGAGCACTCTGGCTGGGGACCGGTCCCTACTGTGGCCAAGAACCTCTTCTTCGTTTTGGACTTTTCATCTAAGCTTACACGACCTCAGAAAGGACAAAGGGAAAGGCTCTCCAAACTAGGGAGAGTGAATGGGTGCGTGCATGTGCATGACCCTTTCCCTATACATTAATTCTACCTCAACAAGGACTTTCCTGTAAGAACAGAGACCTCTTGTGTGTGTTATCTGACCATCTTGCCTGTGTGAAGCCAGGTGGAAGAGTCAGGTAAGGAGAACCTGCTGGTCTATGTGGAAGAGGAGACAGGGGCAGGTGCACACACAGCGAGCTGGAACCCAAGGGCCCTGGGCACAGGGAGTCCAGGGGAGGTGAGCGACATAAAGGCTGACTTTCTCCCCTGCAGAGAAGAGCACAGGCAGAACTCTGCAGCCTGGCTGACAGGATGCTGGCTGAGGCCAGGGCAGACGTGGGGAACTACAGGACAAAGTCCTGCTGGTAGTCCCCACTAATGACAACCCTGGGAGTCTTGGATCCTTTGCAGGGCTGGGACCCAGGGAGTGCCCAAGGCCTAACAGGTGGCTTCCAGGACACTGGGGGAGGCCTGCCCAGACCTGTCATAGGAATCAGAGGCGACATGTGATAGACTTGGGCATACATCGGGTGGGGCTTACAAAAGAGACGTGTGGGTGGGCGTAGGCAGCAGGACGCTAGTAGGGCAGGGCCGAGTCATCCCACTCCAGTGGGGTGTGCCTGGCTCCGCTCTGCCCATGTCTGCCCTTGCCCATCCCTTCCTCCTCCTCTTCGTCTTCGCTGTCCTCTGACTCACTGCTGCTGGAGCTCACATCTTCCTCTACTTCTTCCTCCTCCTCCTCCTCAGTCTCTTCTCCACGCCCTCGTTCTTCATGTTTCTGGATGTTGGGGAGAGAAGGGACACGCTCATTAGGGGCTGAGCAAAAACTACTTTGGAACTTAACATGTTTCTCCCTCCACTAAGGCAACATTTTGGACCCTTGGAACTCCTTTGCCTTCCCACTAAACCCATGGCACTGGGGACAGGCCTCCTGAATGGGAAGTCCTCTGGTGAAAGGCAAATCAGAGGGCTAAGGACCAAGAAGAAATAGCAAATTCCAAGATCTGGACTCAAGGTAAATGGTGGGTTTTAAACACAAGACATCGAAGCCCGTCCCTTTCAGGCCAGGGTTTGCTTTCCAGCATTTCTGGAGCCTCTCTGTATGGAGCTTTCCAAGTCTTAAGTGTAGCTTAAATGCTCTTTTCTCACAGAGGAGCATTCAGCCCATTTCCAGGTGAGATCATATTCTCTGGGAGCAGACGGTCTTCTAAGCCAAGATGCAGGTATGCTGCTCCTCAGAAATACTCCTTCGGAAAGGAAAGTTCATGATCTTCATTTTCCATGCCCCCCTCACTGTCTGAGACTTGTGTCCTCAAACTCAGCCTCACTCTTTTCTAGTTCCAGTCCTGCCCAATTTTTGGTGATTCTAGCAAAGTCTTAGTTCTGGATTTACATTTTGAGTTGATGAAAGAGCCATAAGAGATGTATGCCCTTGCATGGTTGCCTCCCCTCCCTGGAGTGGCTTCTTTTCTACCTTGCCTGCCCGCCCCTGTTCTAACCCATTCCTCAAGGCCTCCCTTAGGCTAACCTCCTCCAGGAAATCTTTTCCAAACACTGCCACCTCGATGGCTTTCTCTGCTCATGCTTCACTGACCTTTGGCAGCAGCAGGTTAGCCCTCAGTAAGAACACTCATGCCCGGGGCTCACACTTCTCCAGGCTTTGGGGCTTGTTTTCCACAGCCAAGGTTCTGCTCTCCGAGGGTGGAAATGCTGGTGTGCCCTGGGGCATGCTCAGCACTATACCTACACCCTATGCTACAAGCTGAGCTACAGCGGCAATGCTGGCTAGGATCCCAGAGCATGAGGCCAACTCAGAGACCTTGGGGACCACATTGGGAGAATCTTCATGCCTCAGTGACTCCTTCTGATCTTCCTCTGCTTTTCTACTCCTGCCTTTGCCACCACTGAGGACCCATGGGCAGCCCAAAGGGCACTGTGGTATTCGTATGTCCAGAGCTGGGGCCTTAGACCCTTGTGGATGGATGCTGGAGGTTGCTGGCTAACTGAAATGATAGGACGTTGGGATCCAGCAACCTTTAGTTAAATATTGGCACTGCTACTACCAGCTATCTTTCCTCTTAGACTTGGTTCCCACTCAAGAAGTGAGGATGAGAACCTCTGTTTCACAGGGGGTGGTATGTACAGAGCACCCTGTGCACTGTCTGTCTTGATGGGGGCTCAGTGAATGGCAGGTATTGTTGTTGTGTTTTTGTTTTAGCCTATCTGAGCCTTTAAGTGAGCTCTGCAGGCAGCATGGAGCAAAGCCATCTAATTTACACTGTTAATCAGGAATTCAATACTGAGTCTTTAAGTGTTAGTCAGCTTTGAGTTAAATACTATGGGGGAGGCAAGGGAGAGACACCACATGGCTGCTTGCCTTAAGAAATGTCTGGTTCTGTTGGTAGGGTGAGAGCAATTCATGTATTTTTAATCAGTGAATGCAGCTGATGGGAAAATATGGTCCATGCAGGTGGAGTGAGCTGAAGGTGCTCAGAGAAGGCAAGGGTCAGTGGGGCTGGGCTTGTTGGGGCAGGGCTTCCAGCACAGGGAAGATGGAGCTGGGGGAGGGGAAGCATCCTGCCTCAAGATTCCAGCCCCTGCCATTAGGATCACCTCCATGGGGTTGACTGTGATCGTGAGCGCAGAGTCGTCCCAGTCCATCTCCGCTTCCTTGGCAGCCTCCGTCTCCTGGGTGAAGTGCTGGTGGGCGATCCGGACCCGGTACACACCCATGGCCACGACAAACACCAGCATGCACACAGAAATGATGATGACCACTGTGGCGATGCTTGGGACCACTGGAACAAGGAAGGAATCCACATGACATGGTAAATGGAAAGACTAGCTCAGTCTTGGGATGGCATATGAAGGGAATACCCATGTGTGGGTTAAAATCTGCCCTACCACTTCTCAGCTGTAGATAGAACTCTGGGCCAGCACCTCACCCTGCCTGGGTTTCACGTTCTTCATCTCTATAATGAATTTAATAATTCTTACCCATGGGTACTTGTGAGGAATAAATCAAGTATTTGATGTACATTCTCTTCTATCTTTTGCTTTCCCCTCAAATTCTGGAGCGGGGGTGGGAGGGCTTCCACTGAGAACCAAGCACTGTGGAATTTCATAGGGACAGACACACCAGACAGTGATACAAATGGCAAGACTGGAAGTGAAGTAAGGGTGAGAGATTGCAATATGGTATGCACGTGTGTGTGTGTGTGTGTGTGTGTGTGTGACAGCACATAGGAAGGGGCTCGGGGAAAGCATCACATAGGCTGTGGCTCTGAATCAGGCCTCATAGGACTTGGAAGACTTTACTCTAGCACTCTGTACCAACCTCTGTTATAATACACTTGTAACTTCTTTCCCTAACTAGCCCCTTACTGAGGCTGTGAGGACCTCCGAGGTAGGGCTCACAGCTTTCCCATTCCTGGGTCCCTCCTTCAGTTCTGGGCACCTATGGCTGCTGCACCATACCTGTTAGTGGATGGTCTTGAAGCACCATGCCCACCTGATATCTTGAGGTCCTTCCTCCCACGCCACCTACCTGAACTTCGCTGGATGCTGTTCTGGGACTCAGGGTGGTGGACAGACTGCAGGAAGGGAGGCTGCACAATAAGGTGGTTGACGTGCTCCTTGTCTGAGACTCTGGCCTCATGAAGGACACTGACCTAGGAAGAGAAGGGAGAGGTGCTGCTGACCAGGAGTGGCAGGTGGACCAAATGAACGAGGAACAAGTGGATAACTCTGAAATCCCCTAATGATGACAGGACCCACTCACCTCCAGGTTGAACTCATTGCTAGCATAACGTCCATTGAGTTCTGAGCACTTGACTCTGAACCGCCGGGACTCAAGGGAACTTGGATGCCAGTTGCGGTAGCGGATGTGATGCAACACCTGCTCATAGCGACTCATGGAGCCCACACCTGTGCCAAGAGACCACACCTGTCGTAAGAAGGTAGAGGATGGGGGGTTGGGGGATATAGGATGTGGCTGCTGGGACTTGTGGTTCTCCTGAATTTATCCAGGGTATGAGTTTAAGATGTTTAGGGGCAGATGATGCATGGATACAGAAGTTCTAAGGAGCCAGCTGAACTGACCCACAGGCTTTCCAGATGCATCAGGCTCTGATCAGAATAGTCCCATCCTGTCAAATGCTGCTATATTTGCTGAGATCAAACATAAGAGAAAGCATGCACTCACTTTCTATGTAACTCACTGAAGGAGGGCCTAGCAGTCCATGCTCTGAGGTCAAAGGTCCCTGACACCTCCTCTACAGGTGACAGAGCACTATGACACTCATGACTCCAGCATGAAGGTACTCAGAGAGCACCAGGTTAAGGGACTGAGTGTGCTCTTACCATAGATAGAGTAGCCTGCTGTGGAATTGGTGGCATCCAGGTGTCGCTGATGGAGCTCACTGTGGTTGAGTTCCAAGCACTCCTGTCTTGGGTCCAGGTCCCCTCCAAGCACCAAAATGTCACAGAAATCTAAGTTGTGAAGCATTTCTTCTAAGACTGCTGATTTGGGGGCTGAGGGAAGAAAGACATATGGGAAATACAGGCACAAGGACAAATCAGACAGCAGGCTTGCATGTCCTCTTCCTCCTCTGTGACTGCACACCAGGGTCAGACTGGGTCAGGAGAAGAGACTGTGCCATCCCAACCACCATGGCTCAGATGGATGCCCAGGCATGCCCTGAGGTTGGGTGGCATGGATTTGTGTGAAGAGCATGAACATAATAGTCAAAAGATGTGAATTTGTATACCAGCCATGGAAATACTTACAGTTAGATAAACTACGCCTCTCAATTTCTTCATCTGTAAAGAGGGCAAGGGTCTTCAGAGGATTGAAGACAGTGTCTGGCACCTCGTAGGTGCTCAATAAATGACCATTCTTATTTGGGACCAGAGAGAAGTGCTCTCCTATCATACTCTCCTCGTTTTCCCCATGTGGTCCTGGTGTATCTGTCACCCCAGCAGACCCTGAGTTTTTCAAAGGCAGAAGCACTTTTTGTTTTTGTTTTTAATGACCAACTCCTCAATATCTAACCCAGGGGCTCATATGGCACATACTGCTACATATTGCTCAAATAGAGAAGCACAATTAATATAATTAAATGATTAAGTAAAACTGGTTACTTGGCAATCTCTTGGTCAGTCTAGCAATCCTGGCCTGATTTTATGACCCCAAATTTCCTAAAGAGACATCTGAGTATTTGAATGCTAGACACATTGGCATTCCCAGCTTAGAAGTGATTGGGACTTCTGGGGAAGATGGCAGAGTAAAAGGACCCTAAGTTTACCTCATCCCACGGATATACCTAGGTAATACCACATCAGTATAAATTGGAAAACAACCTGAAGGCTGGCAGAACAAATTCCACAACTAAATGTAGGGAAGAGACACATGAGAGAGGGTAGAAAGGGAAGAGATGTAGTCAGGAGCTAAATGGGTCTGTGGGAAGGAGGGGTGCCACAGACTTAGAAAGGGGAAAAACACAGATCCTCATACCAAACACTCCAGGCACACGGAAGACGAATCCCCATAATATTTGGCTTCGAAAACCAGCTGGGCATAATTTCATGATTTGTTAAGCAGTAGGGCTTAACACCTGGAACATTAAAAATCAGTGGGCTTGGGGCGCCTGGGTGGCTCAGTGGGTTAAAGCCTCTGCCTTTGGCTCAGGTCATGAGTGATCCCAGGGTCCTGGGATCAAGCCCTGCGTCAGGCTCTCTGCTTGGCAGGGAGCCTGCTTCCTCCTCTCTCTGTGCCTGCCTCTCTGCCTACTTGTGATCTCTCTCCATCAAATAAATAAATAAATAAATAAATAAATAAATAAATAAAAATAAATAAATAAAAATAAAAATTAGTGGGCTTGGCTCTGGGAGAGTGAAGATGAGAGGAAGCACAACAAACAGCCTGTGAAAATATAGCATAGAAGCAGCAGTTTGAAAAATGCCTGCGTTATATGGAAGGGAGGTTTGTTTACTAATCTCAGAGCATGTGTCGAAGGGACAGATCACTGGGCAACTCTTCCAGGCATGTGGGCACCATCCCCCCCCCGCCACACTCCCCGCCTTGAGACACAGACAGACATCTGAGGGAAGCAGCACAGTGCCAACAGATGCTACCTAAATTGCTAACAGTGCAACGATACCCAGGTTCTCCTGCAGACATGCCCTCTCCAGCCAGGCCTCCACTCCAGGTGGAGGCCTCCACTCCTTCCCACTGCACACCTGCATAAATCTTCCTAAAACCAAGTTCTCTGCACCAAGTTCTCCTGATCAGCCCCCTCCAATATGACCCTGGCCAGAGCCCCTCCAAAGTGGTGCCACAGGCCTGGCACTGTGCAAGCTACCCTGAAAGGGACCAGCACAAGTCCAAAGTGATTCCTGCCCCAGGGAGAAGGGAAGATAACCACACATACCAAGCCTGAGCCCCAACAGGCTGGGGGCAGACCTCTGGTCTGACTTCAGGCCCCAACCACCAACCAGTGTCTTAAGGAACAACACAGGGAAATCACTTTGCAGGTTGATGCTACTGTATCTCTGACAAATGCTTGGTCTGATTCAACTCAAGCCCAAGACAGGCCCAGACTGACTTAACACCACAGGGAAAATCCTGGTCACAACAGGCAAAGAAAGCCATCGCAGACCACTGGGCTGAAGGCAAAAGCAGCTCAGCCATGGCCATAGGTCACACAGAACACACACATAGGAGATACTATTGAAGCCCCAGGTTCTGGTGAACAGGGGACACTACAAAGCACTATAGGACATGTTGATTAGGCCACTACTTTCAAGAGCAGGAGACCTTGCAGACTCTCCCAACACACAAAAACACACAGAAGTATAGATAAAATGAGGGGAGAGAGGAATATGTCCCAAATGAAAGAACAGAACAAAATCACAGCAAGAGACCTAAGCAAAAATGAAGAGTACTATTCAGATGCTTAACTGACTGAGCCACTGAGGCACCACAAAGAGAAAATTTTAAAAACAGCAAGAGCAAAGAAAAGAGTTACATATAAGGAAAACCCATAAGGCTATCAGCTAATTTTTTAGCAGAAAGGTTGCAGGCCAGAAGGGAGGGGCATGATATATTCAAAGTCCTGAAAGGAAAAAATCTGCAGCCAGGAATACTCTATCCAGCAAGGCTATAATTCAGAACAGAAAGAGAAGTAGAGTTTCCCAGAAAAGCAAAAGTTAAAAGAATTTATGACAACTAAACCAGACCTACAAGAAATGTTACAGGGAATTTGCTGCGTGGAGTAAGAAAAGTAAGAAGCACAAAAGCAATAAAAATAAAGTATATCTATAAAAATCAGTCAAGGAACTAAAAAAATAAAAGTCTATAAAATATGACACCATGTACCTAAACTGTGGGGGTGGGAGGGTGGAGTAAATAATGGGTTCAAACTTAAGTGACCAACAACTTAATATAGATTGCTATATGCAGAAGATGTTATTTACAAACCTAATGATAACCATAAATCAAGAACCAGAAGAGATATGCAAAACATAAAGAGAAAGGAATCCAAGTATATCACTAAAGAAAGCCAATACCCCATGTGAGAAGAGAGCAAGAGAAGAAAGGAGCAAATGAGAACTACAAAAAGAACCATAAAGCAAGTAACAAAATGGCAATAAGTACATACCTATCAATAATTACTTTAAATGGACTAAATGCTCCAACAAAAAACACAAGGTGATGGAATGGATAAAAACCCAAAACCTGTCTCTATACTGCCTACAAGAGACTCATTTTAGACCTAAAAATGCATGCAGATTGCAAGTGAGGGGATGAAAAAGCACTTATCATGCAAATGGAAGTGAAAAGCAAGCCAGAATAGCAATACTTATATCTGACAAAATAGACTTTAAAACAGACTGTAAAAAGAGACAAAGAAGGACAGTAAAATAATCACAGAGGGAAATAAACAAGATGATATAACAATTATAAATATTTATACACCCAACATGGGAGCACTTAAATACACAGAGCAGCACGTAACAAACAAAGGAAGTAATCAATAGTATAATAGCAGTAGGGGACTATAGTACCTCACTTACATTGATGTATACATTATCCAAACAGAAAATCATCAAGGTAATAGTGGCTTTGAATGACACATTGGACTAGACGGATTTAACATCCATTCAGAACATTTCATCCTAAAAAAGCAGCATATACATTCTTTCTAGTGCACATGGAACATTCTCCAGAATAAATCACATAGTAGGCCACAAAGCAAGCATAATAAAAAACATAATACTGGAGGTTAAATAATGGGCAACTAAACAATGAATGGGCCAACCAAGAAATCAAAGAGGAAATTAAAAAAAAAAAATACATGGAGACAAATGAAAACAAAACAGTCCAAAATTTTGGGATGCAGCAAAAGCTGTTCTAAGAGTGAAGTTTATAGGGCTGCCGCAAGAAGGAAGAAAAATCTCAAACAACCTTCACCTTATGGAACTAGAAAAAGAACAACAAACAAAACCCAGAACTATCAAAAGGAAATAATAATAACTAGAGCAGAAATAAATGATACAGATACTAGGGAAAAAAAAATAGAACAGATCAATGAAACCAGGAGTTGGTTTTTCAAAAAGATCAAGACAATTAATAATCCTTTGTTACACTCATCCAAAAAACAAAAACAAGAAAAGAGCTTAAAATAGAAGAGGAGAAAAAACAGCCAAGACTATGAAATACAAAGGGTTGTAAGAGAATGTTTATGACAAATCATATGCCAACAAATTAGATAACCTAGAAGAAATGGATAAATTTATAACTTCTCAAAACAGAATCAGGAAGAAACAGAAAATTTGAGCATGCCAATTACCAGCAATGAAACTGAATCAGTAATCAAACACCTCCCAACAAATAAATGTCCAGGACCACATGCTTCACAGGTGAATTCTTTTAAACATTTAAAGAAGAGTTAATACCTATTCTCCTCAAACTATTCCCCAAAAAAGTGAAGGAAAGCATCCAAATTCATTCTGTGATGTCAGCATCACCCTGATACCAAAACTAGATAAAGACACTATCAAAAAATAAAACTATAGGCCCATATTCCTGATGAGCATAGATGCAAAAATCCTCAACAAAACATTAACAAACCAAATCCAACAATACATTAAAGAAATCAGTCACCATGATCAAGTTGGATTTATTCCTGGGATGCAAGAGTGGTTCAGTATTCACATATCAATGTGGCACATCACATCAATAAGAGAAAAGGATAAAAACCACATGATCATTTCAATAGCTGCAGAAAAAGCATCTGACAAAGTACAGCATCCATTCATAATAAAAAAACTCTCAAGAAAGTAGGGTTAGAGGGAAGAAACCTCAATATAATAAAGGCTATATAGGAAAAACCCACAGGTATATCATATTCATTGGTGAAAAACTGAGAACTTTTCCCTAGACAATATCCACTCTTACCACTTTTATTCAACAGAGTACTGGAAGTCCTAGCCACAGCAATCATAAAACAAAAAGAAATAAAAGGCAGCCA